TGGCAAATTGCATACAAAAACATTAAAAAGATAGTGCACCATCATCAAGTGGGCTTCATCCCAGGGATGCAAGGTTATTTTCAACACACAGAAATCAATGTATATAATTCACCATATCAATAGACTTAAAGACAAGAATCTCATGATTATCTGATTAGGTGCAGAAAAATCATTTGGCAAAATACTGCATCTATTCATGTCTAAAACACTAGAAATTATAGAGATAGAAAGGCCATACCTCAACATTGTAAAAGCTGTATATGACAAACCCAAGGCCAACATCATTCTAAACAGAGAGAAACTGAAAGCATTCCCTCTAAATAGTTAAGTTTTAAGAGGAGGAGAACATAAAAGTATAAGTTCACGTCTCCCACCTAGCTAAGTTATGGTTGGATTTAACCCATCCCTGTGGGAAACTTGATGAATTGGGGTACCTATGGACCTCTTGGTGTCCAGATATTCAGGTGTACTCCTGAGCTACTTGTTTCTTAGTTTTCTCTTGACCTAATCCTCAAACCCATGGCTTCTAAAGTGAACAGTTCAGAGGGCTCTCACCGTTCTGCTCTCTGCCACTGGATTTCTGCTCCCTGGATTGTGTATCATTCGCATCCGAAACCCACATCTCTGATCCCTTGCTCTTCTCACTGCAGCTACGTGCTCCACGTGCCCCACCAGCAGGCTGACCAACAGCTAGGATTGGTTCCTGCCCTAAACCAGTCAAAAACTCACCAACTGAGGACGGAGGTTTTGGGTGCCTCTCTGGATGGGTGACCCCCTCAGTTCCCATTCTCTGCCTGGTGGCCCACTGACCCTTTACCAGGACCATTTTCCTGAGCAGCTTCCCTCCTTTGACTGATCTCAGTCCTTTCTGTGTGGCCACGCCCCAGCTTGTAATGTTCTCTGGACACTTCTCCAGGTTGTGACCTACTGCCACATCTCCAGCCTTCTATGGACATGGTGCAGGCCCTTGGATCTCTTAATCCAGCCCCAGTGTAAAAAATCTCAGATTCAATGCTACTGCATCATAGCACAAAGTAATAAGTATTCCACCTTGCTTGTCGTCTCAGATATCTAAAATAAAACTGTGCTTTCTCATGTATCACCTGACATGTGACCCTATGTCTTAATAAATACAAATTCATGGGCAATGTGTTGGAGATACTTTTAGCCTTATAATTTTATAGTGAGTAGGAATACACACATTTTAACCTGACATGTGTTTTACACAACTTTTTCAAAAAACTGATTTCTTCATAATATTTGTAGAGTTTTTACTCATGTTTCAGAAAATTATCACTATTTAGACAATTAGTTTCTTTTCCAGTTCTTTTGGCTATTTGGCAGTGGGCTTTCTGATCCTTTTTATTAGGGTTTTCTGTTCTTTATCATAATAAAAGAAAAATTGCTTGGAATATACTTATTTTAGTAAATTATAAACTGTCTTTAAGACCTTCTCTCTTTCTATTCCTTACTATGCATGAGATCACTTTTATCACTTTTATAAAAGTCAGTCATGAATCAGTTGAGATGGAATTAATTTAGATGAACAGATATTAGAGAATATGTTTGAGGAAATGTGCTGGTTTGTCCTAGTAGAGCACAGCATAGCTTTTGAAAAGTATTGGCTTCTCTAACATTGCTATTTCCCTGGCCATATTTTAAAAGGAGTCTCACAAATCAAAATTTCTCAAAGTGTGATTCCCAGAACAGCAACTTCCTCATCTCCTGGAAATAAATAGAAATGTAAATTACCTGGCTCCAACGCACACCTGCTGTATCAGAAACGATAAGGGCAGAGGTGGGCCAATACTGTGTTTAAACCAACTTGCAGGTCATCTTGGTGCACACCAGACTCTGAAAGCCAGGATTCAAGGCAATTAAAAACACATGCAGATTCTTAAACTTTTAAAAATGCATGCCTGTTAGATGCATTTCACATAGGTATACTTTAAAAAAATATTCATTAAAATGAAGCCCATTTTAACCACTCAGTTTTGAAATGGTCTTTCTTTCCAATAAAAACTTCGATGAATTTTCTCCAAGCACACATGGACTTTTTAGAAGAAGTAAATAATTTATTCCTGGCAAAGGCAGAGAGAGCTTCCTTCCTCATCATAATGGAATCCAGTGACATGCACATGTGTAATCTGATGTGCCACCCTCCCCTTGATATGCCTGATTTTATACTGGATTTAATTATAGTCCACTTTTTAGTTGAATTTGAAATCCTTAGAAATTAACCATTGGAGCAGAATGAATTTTGAACATCTGACAATTGAAAATAATATTTCTTATGATAATTTCTTTCCAAAGTTACAAGAAAGAGCATCAAAGGGAAGTCTGGAGAGTTTGAAACTGACTGACTTTCTAACCCAGTTAACAGGAACAGGTGACGTGTTGGTTTCAAAGCTTGGAGACAGGGAAAGCAGAAAGCAAACAAGGGGACGGGTCCCCCAGGTAGACCTCACCAGTGCACCCCCAGAGCTTGCCTGCCCTGGGAAGGCTCCTCCAGGGCCCATCCTCCAATCACCCTTGGCTTGTAAAGGATGGACCTCCGTGATTTTGACATGTAGAGCCTTGCATGGGGTGAATTGCACCAAGTTCACTCATTCGTTATGTCCATACAGTATGATTCTTCCAACCCTCCCATGGTTGGTTATTATTGGTTTTTATCTGCCGATATTTGAGCACATGGACATTTCAGTGAAAATGTCATAGTGCTGCTGGGTTCTCCACCCTGGCTGATGTTTCACATGCCATCCCCTTGAATGGCACTCACGGTCAAGGTTGTATTTTCACCTCTTCTATTTTCTTTTAAATATTAAACTCTGGCTATGGTTACCAGGGGTCTATATAGCCCCAAGCAATAGTAATACTGGTTAATGATGTTTATTCTGGAAAAAGGGTTTTTATTTCTTGCATTTGGGCATTAATTCTTTTCTGTCTTTAGACTCTAAAATTGATGGAAAGGGAAGACTGAAGAAGAATGTTTTACTTTCCTCTTTGATAACAGTGTTTTCCCCATGCACAACAGAGACCACTGAAATACAATTAATTCCAAATATGGAAGCTTTCCTTTCTCCAGAGGGATTTTTTTGAGATCTCATTTTATTTTTAATTTTTTTATTGGTTATTTTTAGTTATACAAGACAGTGGATTCCATTTTGATGTAATTATACAAGCATGGAATATATCTTATTCTAATTAGGGCCCCATTCTTCTGGATGTACATGATGGTGAGATTCACTTTGTCTTGAGCAAAAAAAAAAAGAGCTTGATGTTCAGGCAATGTCTGTATTCCTGAGTCCACCTATTGGGTCCAAGTTCCATGGATGCTCTTTTATGAGATCACGTCCCTTTCATTTACTACTTATAATCTCAATGGGTTAGCAATTATGGTGAGAATGCCAATGATGCATTTAATGCTAAAATTCACTTTAGGATATACACAATGAGTATTTATTTGTGATATTTCATTGCAGATAATTAATGGGACAACATTCTTTCTTCATTTTTCACCTATAAAATTGATCTCCTTTTGTCATTTCCTGAGGAAATGAGTGTGAAATCCATATGCATATTAATTTCATGGGTCAATAACCTAAGTAAAAGTTAAGTCATTAGACTATCTTTTGTTAAAAAAAATTTGCAAACATATGTGTATAATAGTAGTGATATGGCCAGTAAATTTTAAACTACTATGCTTACATTAATTTCACCCATTTTGGAATCTGAATATTGTCTTTTGGCATAGGAGAATCCTTACTGGGTGAAATTCCTGCCAGAGAAAATATCCGTTGTATTATACACGTAATTCCAGCTGAGCACCCGCAAATACCATGTGATTCAGATCGTGACAGTAGGATGAATAATAGTACATCCCCCAAACCTATCAATCCTCTTCCAACGCAGCTGCATTATGCTGTTTCTTAAAATAACTAAACAGAATGGCTTCTAAAGCACTCTTCACAATTAAATTCTAACTCGCCCAGATCTATCAGCCAAGCAATTCTTAAACTTTTTGTTATCATGATGTTATTTTTTTCATAATTTCCCAATTTTTGCATCCCATATTCATCATGAAGAAATTTATTTCACTCATATAATAACCTGATATGTATTGATCACTTACTGTAAAATGAGGCTATGGTGCTAGGAACTAAGGTATTTTATAGGACACTTTATAGGACATACTGAGTTCTTTACTTCCTGGAACTTATAAACTAACCTCTGTGTTTGTCAAAATAAAGTCATTTAATGCATTTAAATGGGAATCAAGGGCTTCAGAATTTTGAAATAGCCTTTGAGATATACCAGAAATGACATAGCAGGGTTTGAAATCATCGCCGACTAACAGTCTTTTCAACTATAAAATTCCAGAATGAAAGAAGTTTTGCATTTTTATTTTTCTTACCAAGGTAATGTCTTAAATTCTGCAGAAGGTGGTAACAGATATCTACAATTACCATATGCTGAATTTGCCCTGGTGCCATTTGTTTTGAGATATAAACTAAATTATTTTTTGCAGTGCTTACATAGCTAGTGAGTCACACCGATTGTGTATTAAACACTTCATATTACAAAGGTGAAATTCAGTAAGTTCTTGCCAATTACAATAAATAGCACTTTTCTTGCAGGATATCCATGATATCAACTTAGATTGTGTGAATAAGCAAAGAGAAGTGCCTTTTAGACAGAGATTCCAATTAGCTTTTGCCCTTAGTTTTCTGTTGAGATTTCATCCTAACCATAAAACATGCATGCAATGAAAATTTATACAATGAGAGCAAAGAAGTCAATGGTTAAGAGTCTTCTAATGAGCTCCTATTTTCACACACAGAGGAGGAGGTGGTGTTTTGAAAGGTGTATCCCTGTCACCAGGGAATGTGGTGGTGCTTTCTGAAGTGTGGAGGCAAAGAGGTATACAAATGAACACGGTCCTCTTGTGAACACTCGGATCCCTTGTCACTTAATTTTGTCCATGCTTTGTTTCTTTGCAGAGCGATTCAATGTTTATCTCATGCCTACACCAAATCTGGATATTTATGGAGAATGCACAATGCAGATCACCCATGAGAATATCTATCTCTGGGACATCCACAACGCCAAGGTCAAACTGGTGATGTGGCCTCTCAGCTCACTGAGGAGATATGGTCGGGACTCCACGTGGTTCACCTTTGAGTCGGGAAGGTAAGCTCTAGTGCAAAGACCAAGAGTAGTAGGGATGTGATAAACTCCTGAAGGAAAACTCTATCCACTGTTGCCAGAGATGGCCACTGCCTTTATAAAGAGTATAAGGTAACACTAAATTTCTTCCAATTCTCATCGATAATCTGAATAAAATTTATTAAGTGTATGGCAAGATAATTACCCCATTTAAAATAATTTCAGTCACTTCCACTAAACCTCAAACTATTTTAGTGATGCAATATATTTCCAAGATTATAATAATTCTCATTTTTATGTATCTTCATGCTATAGGATTCCTGTTAAATTAAATATGTCTCTCCCTGCACTCTTTTTGTGGATGTCTTGTAAGCATACAATATTGAATGGTATTTTCATAAAATCATTTAAATATTGCTTTTCAGGCTTGTGACAAGTATACTGTACCTTCACCCAGGTGTTTATGTTGGTAACATTAGTAATTAAGTATAATATTAACTCAGAATGACTGAATAAATGTTGGCAAATCCATAATTTATGAAATGTACAACTCAGATTTCACACGGAGCATATCAAGCAAATAGTTGGTTTCTTCATCCTAGTCTGTGCTTGGGATCCACACATACAAATGCTTGATCATTATGCACAGACGTAGATGCAGACACGAACCACAACCAACCAAATTGTGTCTTTCTGCTGCGACCCCTGTAATATTGTTGTCACACACCCAATATAAGACTCGAGTTTGAGGATTCTGTGTAAGGAAAAGATGTTCAATGCATCAGTCTGCACAGTGGGGATTGACTTATCACAACTTAAAATGAATCCATGGTCCTAAAGGTAACAATCAGTGAGGTTCCATTGCCTTGAAATGACAATTTTAAGTTGTAACCTTCTTCTTACAAAACTAAATATTTATTCAAGTCATATGTCTCCTAAAGGAGACAAACAAAAGGAAAACTAAGCAGTAGTAACTTTACGAGTCTGGAGCACTTTTGCACAGAGGAAACGCTGAACCCTCCACCTGCTGATCTCTCTGAAGAACCTTGGATCCTGTTTATTCAGCAGCTGTGAGTTCCCCCAACTCTGCCCCTGTCTGAGGGGTACTGAGAGTGTAGTGGTAACCACGTTCCAGATAACGATGAGAAATAAAGACTCTCAAAACAAAATAAGTATTTTTAGATATGTACACTATGTTAAAATCATGATTATGGAAAAGATATGATATCTTTTAAAGACTCAAGAACCTAAAATCTAGGGTACACTTTTTACTGGCCGGAGGAAGTGTGTATATAACTGAACTGCAGTTTGGTTTGTTCTCTCTCAGTTAACGCTACTTCCAAGATCCCCTCTTCCTCTCCTCCGTGTCTTTCTCCTGGATACACCAATCTTCCTTTTCTTGCATACAAAAATAACAAAAACATTAATGATGATGATGCTAATAAGAATGATTTTATCTGTCCCATCATTTCAACAGACTACATCTCAGGGTTTTTAAAAACAAGCATTTTTTGTTTTTGTAAAGAATTTTTACTCCATTTATACCTGTCTACCTCAAGTTTGCCATTTTTTCTCCTTATTTTTTTTATTTTTTCAAATTTCTTATTCCTTCAAAGCTTTTAAGGGGAATAAACTGGCTTTGTATGTTTTAAAATTAATATTCTCAACCAAAACACCAAATTTTATGCTCTCGATCATTTTCTGTAACTTACATGAAAAAAAAAAATACATTGAAATAGATGAGGTCCATAATCTCCCACTGTTTTTGTTTTCTTGGCCTAGTATTTGTTTTGTAGTTTTTGTTGTTTGCCAGAATAACTTCTTAAACAATGAATATCTTAATACCTAAAACTTAACCCGGACACCCACATACCTACCTGCCCTGGGAATCAGAGTGAGTTAGGTTTAGACCACAGCACTGTCCCCTACCAGTTTTGTCTGGGGCATTTGACCCCTCTGGCACTGCATTTTCTCTTTTGTGTTAGCAGAATTTAAATACCTACCTCCAGCTAAGTTCAGAGAAGCCAGCGAGTTGGTGCAGGCAAAGCCACACACAGTCCACAGCATTGCCACATGACAGGTGTGTGAGCCTCTTAAGTATCAACTCTCCCTCAGAAATCACCATTTGCCTGTGTCTCATTCCTGAGAGCAGCTCTGGCTCCGTCTGAAGAGCCCTGGTCATGGAGAACTCTGCTGTGGCACATCCTGAGGCAAAGCTAAAGCCACAGGAAATGGGAGAAGCAGCTCGGCACAATGCTTGGGAGAAGCTTGTGTTTAAATGCCAGAGAAAGAATTACCAACTCTGTTCCAGGAAGGGAAATCAGTGTGACTGGCCACGAGTCCAGACCTCAAGGCCCATTAGAAAAAATGGCACCAGTGCAACAAGACTTTGGAGAAAACACTGTACAGCTGTCTGTGTACTGACTGGTACCTGGGGCACACCTGAGGGTTGGTAGGGGCCTACAACATTGAAGGGTCAGCAGGAAGCATGGGAATTTACTAATTTTTGTAGTTGTTCTAATTAGTTATTCATGGAAGCAGAATGCATTTTGAATCATTGTACACAAATGGAGCACAACTTTTCTGGTTGTACACAATGTAGCATCACACCACATGTGCAGTCATACATGTACCTAAGGCAATAATGTTCATATCCTTCCACCATCTTTCCTACCCCCACCCCTCCTAGAATTTACTAATTTATGATGCGTAATTCTTTGAAATCTGTTTATGTTCTAATATTACTGTTTGCAGAAATCAAATTGTAAAGCACTGAAAATCAAACTTCTGTACACTGAGACTACTGAGGTAAAAACCTAACAAATTTATTTTGAAACACTGCTAAGATATGAATTGAGCACAGTTGTAGCATATAAATATATAAAAAATCTATTGTATTTTCTATGCTATCAATGAATAATTAAAAGTAAAAAAAATTGCATTACTTATAATGGCATCAAAATATGAAATATGCACAGGTGGACTTAACACAATATATGCAAAAACTTTACATGGAAAACTGTAAAATATAGCTTAGAGAAATTAAAGAAGAGCAAAATAAATAGGAATATGTATACGTTCATGAACTGGAAAAACTATCTTGTTAAGAGAGCAGTCTTATCTAAATTAATTTATAGATTCACCTTTATCCTAATAAAAAATCTCAATAGACTTTTCTAAAATAAATGACAAGCTGATTGCAAAATTTATTTGGAATTGCCTAAGATCTAGAAGAGCTAAGGCAATTTTGAAAAGAAGAATATAATTAAAGGATTTTCACTACCTGGTTAAGAGTCTTGCTACAAAACTATAATAACAAAGATAGTGTAGTATTAACATAAGGATCAACCTCATGATCAGCAGAAAATAGTGAAAAGTTCAAAAACAGACACCTTTCACGGAGTGATGTCTCCCTAGGCAACCTTGCTGTACTGAACTGATGAAGTACATTTGAAGCCTTCTGCATCTGACAGCTGAGCATGTTATTGGGGCCCTTAGGGGAGGACTCCGTGGCTCCATGCAGCTTCATCTGTGTCTGCTTTGGAAAACAACACCTACATAGCTGGTCAATTTGGTTTGTTGTTGTTGTTGTTGTTGTTGTTGTTGTTATTGTTTTGCTTTATTTTTAAGTCTACATAAATTCGTGTAAAAAGGAGACAAACAGTGCTGAAACAACTGGACAGTAGAAATGTGAACCCCAGCCTTCCCTTGCTGCAATGGCCAGACCTGCGTCCTCCCAATGTAATGTTGAAGCCCTGACCCCCAGCGTCATGGTATCTGCAGAGGAGCCTTCCAGAGATAACCAGATTTAGGTGAGGTCATAAACAGGAGGCCACATGAGCTTTGCGTACTTTCACAAAAATACCAGAGAAGCTTGCTGACTCCTTTCCTCCACCATATGAACACATGGCGAGAAGGCAGCCATCTACCAGCTATGAAGAATCTCAGCAAAAGCCACCCTCCTGGCATCTTGATCTTGAGCTTCTCAGCCTCCAGACTGTGAAATGATAAAATTTCTCTTGTTTAAACCACTCAATTAATTATATTTCCTATAGTAGTCCAAACTGCTCATAAAACTCATAATAGCCCCCCAAAGCTCAAATGAACATACACCTAAATATAAAAGTTAAAATTGTAAACTTATCAAAGAAACATACAGAAAATATTTTTTCTCCATTTATTTATTTATTTATTTTTAAGTACTTTTTATTTTTATATGACAGCAGGATGCATTACAATTCATATTACACATGCAGAGCACGATTTTTCATATCTCTGGTTGTATACACAGTATATTCACACCAATTCATGTCTTCATACATGTACTTTGGATAATAATGATCTTCACGTTCCACCATCATTTCTAACCCCATGTCCCCTCCCCTCCCCTCCAACCCCTCTGCCCTATCTAGAGTTCGTCTGTTCCTCCCATGCTCCCCCTCCCTATCCCACTATGAATCAGCCTCCTTATATCAAAGAAAACATTCGGCATTTGATTTTTTGGGATTTTCTAACTTTACTTAGCATTATCTTCTCTAACTCTATCCATTTACCTGCAAATGCCATGATTTTATTCTCTTTTATTGTTGAGTAATATTCCATTGTGAATATATGCCAAATTTTTTTTATACATTCATCCACTGTAGGGCATCTAGGTTGGTTCCACAGTTTAGCTATTGTTAATTGTGCTGCTGTAAACATTGATGTGGCTGGGTCCCTGTAGTATGCTGTTTTTAAGTCCTTTAGGTATAGACCAAGGAGAGGGGTAGCTGGGTCAAATAGTGGTTCCATTCCCAATTTTCCAAGAAATCTCCATACTGCTTTCCATGTTGGCTGCACCAATTTGTAGTCCCACCAGCAATGTATGAGTGTGCCTTTTCCCCCACATCATCGCCAACACTTACTGTTGTTTGTATTCATAGTAGCTGCCATTCTGACTTCAACTCAAAATGGATCAAGGACCTAGGAATAAAACCAGAGACCCTGCATCTAACAGAAGAAAAAGTAGGCCCTATCTCCATCAT